GGGAAGGTTTGCAAGGGTTGATTTTATCAAGGTGATTCTTCCCCCCAAGGAAATATAATTTCTCTTCCACATTGCCAACTTCTTCATGAACCTCTCTACCACCAGTTTCCTAAAGCTTTCAGCTTTCGGATTCCCACCCAAGGGCATTCCTAAGTATTCCAGAGGCCAATTTTTCACACAAGAAAAAAAATGGCTAATTTTCACAAGAAAACTCCATTTTCCAAAATCTGGCCTAGTTGGACAATGTATAGCATCCAAGAGTCAGATGCATACACCACTTCCATTTGTTACATTCTGTTTACAATATTACATATATAGTTATACACTCCCACTCCCATATAATGCCAGCATATGTTAGCTCGGTTAAGGTTGTGTTTACATTGCACACTTCAAAAGGCCATTACCCACTACTGGTCCTGGCTATCAAGGGTCTTAGGATTGGACTAGATATGGACCACCTCTGTTGTTTTTAGGATGAAGTGACCTCTATCTCGCTCAACCCTTCATTCCCATGCTTGTTAGCCCAAGTACCAATGCACCAAACAATGACCCTTATACATTGCACACTTCCATCTAATAAATTATTTACAGGAGCAAATGTTTAAACTTATGTGGTAAACTTTACAGATTATCTGATCTTGGAAGTTGGGGCCTTCAGAGGAAGCTAGACGAGCTTGTGAAGTTGGGAACTTCACTCAACCCTTCATTCTCATGCTTGTGAAATATTTTGATGTAGTTAGTTTCAACTGCAATCCTGTTTATTTATTCCTTTTGAAAGTGATTAGAAATGGCCTATACAAAAACAAAAGACCAAAGGAAGCTAGACGAGCTACTCCTGATGTATAATTGATCTCCAGGAATTCAATGGACATGGATTTACAAAATAGGTGTGCTTATATTGAACCGAAATTACATATGATATTACTTGTCTAATTAGAAGGACTTACATCCTACTCAAAGTCCAGGCTACTGTGTTGAAAAATTACCCTTCCACAAGACTAAAACTAATGGGTTAACAGATTAGTGACAAAATTCCATAAAGGGCCATAACCCAATGTTGGTCCCAACTATAGGGAGGGGCACCTCTGACAACTCACACTTGTCAGCCCAAGATTTTACCTTTACACCAAGAAATAGCCCCTACGGCAGCTCGTTAGGAGCAGAGAACTTTAATAAAACATGCATTTTAAATTTCCAAAATTTCAGCTCTCTGCAATAGTTGGAAATATTGGTAACATACAGCATTTGCGCAATGAAGTTATTTGGATTTTTCTAAATTTCATGTCTTCTAGAGGACTATATATGCTTACACGGAAGCTGAACATAGATTAGGGTGTCAGCACATAAAACTGTTCGTCGGAAATAGTAGCCATAAATCTGCAGTGATATCTTAGCGAATAACGCATTAACAAAGTACTATTAACGCAAAAGGAAGCCTACCGATATCAATAGAGCTAATTGACAACAAAAAGATGGGTCAAGCTCAAGCATCTATCGATTAATTCATATTTGTTGAAAGAAAATCGTTTATATTTCCTTTTTCTCGTTTTCTGATTCTTATATTATGTCGTGCAATGATCCGTAGAATCTAAAGCTATATATACCTAGTTCATTCGAATATAGGAATTGGTGAACTTCCACAAATTGAAACATACTCGTATCGCACTAAATCAGCTTTAGATTAATAAAATAAGCTCAAATTGTAAGTGAACAAGAAGTGGAAAATGATTACGAAGAAATGATTATTGAGAACCTGATACTGCTCCTCGGCCTTCCCAGGTGAAGAGGAGGAGACACCTTTGGTTTTCTCTTCGGCTCGGGCAAGAACACCATTGCCGCGCCATTTCCGATCTTTGATATTCCAGGGAGACGAAACGAAGCGCGGCAACGAAAGTCTTGAGAGGGGTCTCTGAAGCAAGACGGTGTGCGGAGATGGAAAAGGAGAAGCTATTCTATTAGATGGATATCGGCCACAGAAGTGGTACTGCTGGTTTCCAATGGAGAAGGTTGCCATTTCTCTCAGCTATCGTTGGGACGACCGTAATTGAAATCGAAATATTGACAACTGAATCCGTTTTACGTTGGGAAAAAAAGAGTAAGGTCCGGTCCTCCGCTCTGTTACTCCGAAATCCGGATGCAGAGAGAGAATATGAGTTCCCGTGAACCGGCATCGTCGAATAGCGATTTTTCTGGTTTTATTATTGTTTGACTGGTGCCTGCCGGTAGTGTGGTCAAGCTTGGATAAGAAAGACGATTGTCAATTGGTTTGATCATTGATAGATGATCTTCATTAGATGGACCCTACCAAGAAAATCAATTATGGTCTCAAATGTCCCGCGTCTCGATTCGACTACAGCCGGACCGGGCCTCAGTCCACTATAGCTTGCGGCTGTTCGGATTCGCGACGGGTACAGGCTTGAGAGGACCCGAGGAATCATCTGATGCACCTGGGACGAAGCAAGGTTTAGTGTAATAAAATACATGGGCCCACACCTTTTATAATGGGACTCATGAATTTATTATTCCAAATTTTCTGGGAAGAGATTAGATTCCTGGTATCAATAATCCTAAAATCTCAAACGGGCCGAACCCGAATTCACATCAATGCCCCACCATACATCTCAATCGTGTATTAAAAACATTTTCCGACGACAAATACCACCCCCTCTTTTGATTCGATAGAAAAAATCACTGCTCTAATGTACTAATGCTAAATGAGATGTTTTCGGTGCGGGCTGAGATATGCATGTGAAGCAATTACTGCTCTAATAAGCCAAGCTACATGACTTTTTTTTTTTTTTTGATGGGTGAATTAGACATGATTCATGACATTCGTTTCTGGTGCTCAAATGTTTCCTTGTCTAAGGCGGGTATCAATGAATTATCATATATTCATATTAGTGTATTTTTTTTATAGTTACTCAATATTTTTTATATATTGCTCTAAAAAAAAGTTTTTTTATATAGACTTGGGATTTTTTTATGTAAACTTTACTGTACTTCATCTTTCCAAAAAAACATTTACTGTTGTTTTTTTTTATCTTTCTTGCAGCTTTCCGAATATTAATTTTTTATAATTCTAAGTTGACAGGCATCAAAAAATTAATTTTAAGTTGACTAAGTAGTAAAGGGGACAACTGACAAAGGCTTTGTTCTAAATGAGTTCGGATCTGATGGTTACAAACAACGCTAGGCGGTAGGCACATCATAGGTTTCTGCCACCTCCACTTGTTCACCAAAAATATAAATTTCTTATTTCTACAAATCAAATTTTTAAATCCTCAATGTTAAGAACAAATGGTACAAAATTTAGTGAGTGTGCCTAGCTACTAACATGTATGGTATTTTTAAAATTAAGGGTAAATTACAAAGATCCTCCTCCTGTATTATAGGGTATGTGATAAAAGACCCTCCTGTATTAAAACCTTAAAACAAAGACCCCCTTCTTTTAGTCTTCCATCCAAAAAAACTATTGCAATATTTTTTAAATTCCATACTACCCTTATAACTACTATTTGGATGAAAAAAAATACTGTTCATTTTCCCCTACTTAACAGCGGCGATAAACCCCGTATCGGAATGGGATCGTGAGGCTAGTAAACGTCGAGCACCTTATTGGTGAAACAGCTTGAACTTCAGCCCAACAAACAGAAGTTTGAACTAGAGATCTAGAGAGAGAAGAAAAAAAAAAGAAGCAGAGAGAAAAACAGAAGTTCGACTAACCTGCTTATCGTCCTACGCAGGCGACTATACTTGTCAGTATGTCCGGTCCAGAATAGAAGGCAGAAGTTAATTTAATTAAATAAAAAAAGCAGAAAAGGTAAGTGTTCTTCCGGCTCCCGTTCTTCCTCCCATCTCCCACAAACATTATATTCTTCTTCTTCTTCAACACATCCACGTTCTCCCTATAAACTCCTGCCTTTATCCTTATTATATACCTCTTATTACTATTATTCGGCGCCGCAGCCACTGCCACCGACACCGTCTTATAATTCCCACTCCCATCAGAAGCCACCATAACATCCGGCGTCACCGTCGACGCCTGCAATAGCCTCCAGTCTCCCGCCGACAACTACCCCGGAAACCCATCTACCTCTCCACTCTCCCCGAGTTTCTCCCCATCTTAAGCCTTTCCTTGGCCATGTCAGTATCCGTCATGTTTCATGGCCAATGCGTTGCTACACATGTGGTACACATGTTCTTGACCCTTTAACAAAGCGTTCCTTACTTTCCTTGTCAGCCTGGTCATGTGAGAAGCCATCAATGTGGGTCTCTTGATTGATCATGGCGGCACTGAGGAGTATCTTGAGGTCCTTTGCTGGGCTAAGGAGTTCTTGTTGGGATACTGTTTGAGGTCCTCGGCTGTCTCGTGCAGCTCGTCAACCATCTCGAGACAGTCATGGAGGGCTGTCTTTTCATGTTGCGCTTTTTTATGGTGAAGTAGTTGTGCTCAACGGCTGTGATGGTAATATTGTTAGGTTGTCAGCTGCACCGGGGACAGTGGCGAAAGCTGAGTAGCAAAGGTCCGGGTATAAGGTACTGCTGCACGAGGATTTGAGGATGGCATGGGCTGAGGAGGGTATTTTGCTGGACTTTTTTCGTGATGCGACACCAACGACGATGCCGAGAACAGAGGCAACGTGGAGAAAGGAAGCGAGGAGAAAGAGGAAGAGTTTCTTGTTCTTGTTTGAGATGGAAATACGGCTGCCGGAATCTGAAGTTCCGGGAAGTGATTCATTAATGCCGGCCATTTTGGGACTAGGAGAGGAGAGGAGTGAAAGACTGACCCAGTGAAGTGAAGATGCAAAGGTTGGCTCTATGGGTTCTTAGTAAATCTTAACAGCTGGGACTGGTCGTATGCTTATCGTTAAGCCCTTTATCGGCGTCACCGGCGAGAAGGTCGGAGAAAGAACAAGTCATGAATTGGTTAGAGAATGAGAACGGTGTTGGATGAGAATTCTCAGATGTTTCTAAGCTCCCAGATGAAGAAGCCATGAGAGAGAGGATGAAATGTGAGATGGGCGGTGAAGCACCCTGTTGAAAGGAGAGTAAAAGGAAGTACAAAATAGTCACGTCCCAAGGTCCGAAGCATTTTCTGAGAAGCTAAGAGGAGCTGCTGTTCATGAAGGAATTTAAGGTAGGTTGGGAAGATCAACGGTGTTTATAAAGGTAGTACGGGGATTAAAAAATATTATAACCGCGGATTTTAACGAAAAACTAACGGAAGGAGATCTTTGTCTCAAAATAATCGTATAAGAGGATCTTTCTCGTAAAATAAAGTATAGAGCGTTTTGTCACAGACCCCATAGTACGGGGGCCTTTATAATTTACCGTAAAATTAAAAACTAACTTTATTATGGATGAAAAAAAATGAAATAACTATTGTGTCAAGAAAAGGAGTCTAAATATCCATCCTGCAAACACATGTGTTGGAACACCAGCGTATTTTCTCGGGCTCTTTTTAGTTTGTGGTGGGAAGGGAAAAATGGAATATTTTAGCACATTTTTTCTTTGGTTTTGTAGAGTCAAAAAATGGAATATTTGAGCACATTTTTTCTTCTTATGTTTGGTTTTGTCCAAGAGTCATTAGATGAGATGAGAAAAAATGTAGGATCACGACTATCAATTATTGAGATGTGCAATCTCATGTGGTGAAAAAAGAGGGAGAAACTTGTTTAATATAAATTCATCTTCTTTGTAGTATTTTTAAGAGTTAAAAGTTAAATCCATGACATATTAATAAATTATTAATTATTTAATAGCATATTAATAAAATTTTTTAATTAAAATTAACAAATAAATTAATTAAAATAATTAGCTAATAAAAATACTAATCAATTAAAAATATACTAATAATTAGTTACTAATTAATAATAAAATATTGAAATTATTAATTAATTTATGAGTATTAGTAAAGTAAAATATTGGTAAAAATATAACCAATAAAAATTGAAATATTAATTAGTGTTAATAATTAATTAACTAATTAAAAATAATTAGTACTAAATAATAAAAATATTATTATTTAAGAGTTAGCAACAAATAGTTAACAATTAAGTAATGGATAATTAAATAATTATTTTATTATTATTTTACTTAATAAAAATAAAAATGTTGATTAATTACAAAAAAATATTATTTAATTTATAATAAATATGAACTGAACATTAAAATATTAATTCTCAATGAATAATTAGTTAACTAATCATCAATATTACTATATTAGTTAACTAACTAATTAATATATATACACTAATAATTAATTAACATGAAAATTTTTCACCCATTTTCCCTTTCTCATCCCATCCCACCAAAATCTTCCTTTGAACCAAATGCAGCCTAGGGGTGGGAAATTTTTACTCACCCAACCCACCTATTTATCGTTATAAAAAAATCCACCTATTTATGATGCGGGTCAATATGGGTCAAGTAACCCATTTTAGGGGAAAAAGGGTTAGTGTGGGTTAGGCTGAGGGTGCCCATAGGTAGGGGTATCCACCGGTGGTACTAGTTTTTCCATTTCTCCAAATCGAAACCGAACCGGTATCACTAGTTAACTAGTCCGTTGGTTTCGATTTTTTATTGGTCGGGTTCTTCGGTTTATTGGTTTTTTATATTTATAATATATATTATATAAATATATGTATAATATTATATTATAAATATTTTAAAAATATATAATATATTTATAAATAGATTATTATAAATATAATATAAGTATATATTTATATATATATATAATGAATATATATATATATATTTATGTATAATATATAGAAGATAAGTACATATATTAAAAATATATAGAAAATATACATATAAATATATATACCGGTTGGTTTGATTAACCGCCGGTTTTTTGTAAATTAACCAAAATCCAAACCGATCCTTCAATTTTTCAAACATTCAAAACCGGAACCGAATTGATTGATTCAGTTAACCGTATTTTGTAATTCGATTTTCTCGATTTGGTTCAATTTTTCAGTTTTTCATGGACACTCCTACCCATAGGATGACCAAGATTGGGGTTCAAAGCTACATGGAACAATTCACCCCTTGTGTTTGTAGTTGTAGTTGTAGGAATTGGCCCACCAAGCACTATGAAGTCATGATTGATGAATCCAACAAATTATAGAAGATTCAATAAGGGATTTGACACTTTGGTGTTATAAATTAGGGTCTAATTGTGGTCCTC